ATGTTAGAAGAAGAAGAAAGCGACAGCACGAGCAACGGGGGAGGCTCACCTTAAGTACGCTGAGATAGCGAACAGGCTAAGGAGGGGAAGGTGTTATAGCCCGACCTTTAGCAAGGCCGGAGGTAGAGACAGGGAAGGCAGCTAGGCCGAGCCCAAGGAGCACGGGACCACAGCCTTAGGGGTATAGTAAGGCTGAAGTCACGTGACGGCTTAGCCTAGCTTAGTAGGCTCAGTCTAGCTCAGTACTAAGCACACTAAGCCACCCTAAGCTAACTGAGCTAAGGTAAGTTATATATACGTAGGTAGCACCCACTCCTATAGCACTGTAGTCAACTTCGTTAATACTCTAACCCCTACCTTTAGACTAAGAGTGTTGTTCCATTATCACGCCGTTGTAAGTGACCGCGTGCCCTTCGCCCTCAGCAGACATACAGTTGTTACTCCCCATAAGTAAACCTACTTAGACCGCATACCGCCTCACGTGGAGCGATTCATAACATATATATATTCACGCTATTTCTACTCCCTAAGGGGGTCGAAATTAAACCCGGCAACTATAGACGTCTACTCGCGTTAAGGTCACGCGTTAAAGCACATCTATTCGAGTAATTTACGCTCCCCGAGGAGTCGAAAGTAAATGAAGCAACTATAGGTAGCTACTCGGGGATCGATTACGCGACGATCGCTACATGATTATAGTAGAAAAGGGCGTTATATTACGCAGCTCTTTAATGAGGGGCGAGGTATAGTACATTAGGAAATATTTCATCACTACTCTCTATAATCTACCTAAGGAGTCGTCGGTATACCCACACCCTCTTTAGTGTATCTCTCTAAGCGCACGGTAGACCAATGCGGAGATTATAATGGTCGACTATATACTATAGTACATAAACGTCTCACGCCTTCTTTAACGCAGCGAAGCTAGCGGCGAGCTCTTATATAGTGCTAACCTTACGGTTAGTACTAGTATTCCCGGTCGTTACATTCTTTACACTATATAAATCCTTATTTCCGCCACACTTAACTAGATCTTACTTAGATATATTGAGAAGGTCGGTTACTATCGCCCTACGGGCCAGCTTACCTCGGCGTAACGAGGAGTTAGCGAAGCGATCGCTCACGTTCTTAGTGCCTATAGTCTTAAGGACGACGGGGCAAGTAAAGGCAGTAAGTTCGTCGAGCCCCGTGTCGATGTCGGCGATCTTAGTAAGGTCATAGGCGTCTATCGTCATCAGCTGTCAATAGACTATCCGCGAAACCAGGCGTGTGATCCGACAGCGGAGATAACTGCGGCACGTACACTTAGTCTTCCATATCTTTAGGGTACTTATAAGTTCCTCGTGAAGTACGAGTATAGAGAGACTTTTAACGGCGTTCGAGTACTACAACACAAGTTAGTTACGCATTTATATAGGAGTGAGAATGGAAGGCCGACGAACCGTAGTAACTAAGTCATCCTAAGTAGGTGTAGACGATATAGCGCTTTAGTTAGATAGTTATTACGTCTAGGATATAGATATAGAGGAGGAAGAATATATATTATAAAGAAAACGGTCGAAGCAAGGGGACGAATAAATTTAAAGTTAGTTACTAGTGCCCTAATTAGGTACGGATTTCGAGTCTAAGATTTTAAGATATCTAATATTCTAGAGTACCTATACTCACGTCCCACCGCTCGACTCCTATAGTCTTTTAACACTACATAGGGTAAACTCGATAATATTAATATATTTTATTACCCTTAAATATATATACGGCCAGCCCATCATCTATACCGCGAGCAGCACAGCCAGATTTTAAACTTATTTCCTCGAAGTTATCACCATCTCCGTCTTTACGCTTAGCCTAAAGAGGGTAAAGTATAAAGGTGTAGAGCGGTGTAAGAGATAACGGCGGCTATATACGATGAACTAGCGCATAAAGTTAGGATTAAACAATCTCATTAATACTAAAGTACTAGAAAAGGTAAAGTTTCGTAACGAGAACTTTAAGGTCGAGGCTAACATCTCCTAGAAAGACTAGCTATATTACTCCCATCGCTAAATTCCGCGTTCCTATAATTTAACCTACGCCACGAGGCGATATCCTAACCATCATCACCGAATGTGTAACGCGGAACGGACGAGATGACACGAAAACGGCGGCACGGCGGATTTTCCAACAACGTGAATTCTAGCGTGCTAGGCGCAGCTTATCGTAGACGGAGGATCAGTAGTTAGAAGTTCAACTAAGGAAGTGCCTTACCGTGTTTCGAACCGACTATCAGTTTAATCTAGTCCAAACGACGAGGTACACTAAAGATCGCTATAAGGTAGCGATACGCGCGCTAAGGGCGATTAGGGCCGGTAACATAATTAAGTTCTTAGAAGGTCCTCTTACTCGAGCCGACGACACGATAAAAGACGAGCAGTATACGCTAAGAGAGGTGAGGAGCGTAGTAGTCTTAGATCGTTAGGGGGGCCCTTACTTCCTAGGGGGACTAGCCCGCTTTACTAACCATAATTATAACGCGAATACACGACTAGAGATGACCTCCCGCCGAAGGTACTATATAAAGGTAGAGTAGGATATCGATATAAGAGAAGAAATTACAGTAAACTATAGACCGGACTTTTTCGGACTAAGCAATCGAGATTATCTATACTCGGTTTACTAGATAGCCAGTAGAAGCGAAACAACGATAGACGAGAGCGAGAGCGACCTAAGCAGCTCAGCTGCCTCGCTAACCGAAATAGAAAACGAGCTTTACAATATCGGCCAGCAAGCCCCCGGAATAACGACGGATCAGTAGGATCCGAATACAGTAGTGGAAGCGGTGGGCTAAGAGATTAGTCTCTAAATAATTAAGGAGGCTAAGTAGTGGAACCGCAAGATACTTACGTCGATAGGAGGCCCCCTCAGCGTCCAACGCCATCTCAACACTAGAAGATATAGCAATTATCGATAAGTTATACTTAGCGCCTCTAAGACCGCGGATTATATCTTCTATAGTCAACACTATTTACTATATCGCTAAATATAGCCGAATATTAATAATCAAAGCTAACGAGAGGCACCGATAACAGTAGAGGAAAAGAATACTAAGGGTAATATACTTCAATTACTATTAATAACGCTATTAACTTACCGTTACCGGCCGGAAAGTATAGTTATACTCTAGTATAACGCCTCTAGATTTTAGGCTTAACCACTACAATTCATCGTAGTGCCAGAATCATTCGTACTTACTTCTCCCTCCTTTCAGAATCGCAGGGCACTAGCGCGTCGCTTAGCTTCCTCGAGACGCTAGGGAGCATTTAATATCTCTATATCCTAGTCTTCCGCTTTACGCTTAAGGCTACCGCTAAAGGAGTTAGCGATGCGCAGCCCACGAACCTCGGTCTCTAGCTCTATAATCTGCTTCTTAAACTCGGCCAGCTGCACTAAGGCCTACTTAAGCAACTCCTCCATCGCGGACATCTTGTCTTTCGCCTTTTCTTCCATTCCTAGTACAGTCTTAGTATCTGTAGTAGGCGTGGTCTACACTATATTTAGCTTTACTATCGCTGGTTTAACCGAGGGAGGCGACTTAATTAGGTCGACGACGACTTTATAGGTAGATACGGGCGGAGCCGTATTAGGGCTCGAGCCGGTCGCTTAAAGAGTAAGGGTACCGGGGCTAGAGCTGGTTAGAACTAGCACGGCGCGAGCCTTACTAATCTTCTCTTAGACTGTTTTTAGATGGTTAGGCGATCGGGGACCTTAAGGGGCGAGTCTTTATACCGTTAATAATACACTAGTCGATAAGTACGCCCACGACTTCACCTTAATTTATCTTAATCAAGGTATTAAGAGCAGCTTCGCACTATAGAGTAGTTAGAATTAGTTCGGCGGATAATCGGGAGCGTGGGCTTAAGGTATTATTTACATCTTCCTTAAGGCCTTTAACGCACTCGTCGATTCTTATATTGCGCGCTATGTTTACAGATAAAGAGGAGTCTAAGATTTTAGAGTCAGGAAGCGTAAGATTATTATAGGCTGACGGGAATAAGTAACGGAGAGGGGTAGGACATTTAAGAGTAAGAACATAAAGATAGTTGTAAGTTAATAGGAAAAAGTAAACTTCTAAAATAATCTAGGGAAGTATATATTTTCGGCTCCCCGAGGAGCTAAAATCGGCTAGCGCGCGTATAACCGTACGGCGGATCAGCTATAATCTACGTTAATACTTAACCGTAGTACTTACACTTTAGCTTTAGAATAATCGGTATCCTAGAAAGACGGGCTAATACCACGACCTAAAAAGACGTCAACCTTACACGCGTTAGGTTATCTAGGCCATATCCTCCCGCTACTCCACCGTCCAAGAGGTCTTTACATCTAATTAGGCCGCCATCGAACGGCTAGTGCGGTATATAGTCCGTTCACGGCGCATTATCGCCATCATTAGCGCGGGAATCAGCACGGAAGGTAGTATACCGGTAAGTGCGAGGCGTAGGGCTGTACGAGGATATCGCCGCTAACGCCCTATATAGGACTTTCGGTCGGGTACTAGCTTATACAAAACGGGATCCCTTAAGGCGGGAACTTTACGCGGTTCGTAGATGTTTAACGCCGACTACCTACACGAGAGTAGCTTCATTAAGCACTATTATATACTCCTTCGACTACGACAGTAAGCTTAGTCGGCGACACCTTTAGCTATGCATCAATTATTTAAAAGTTAGCATAAGGAGGGACGGCTACTACAATTATATACACAAAATATCGACGGACTCGAACAGGAAGCCGGCCTCTTAGTCGTACCCTTAGGCGTAAAGGAGCCTAAAGTCGATAAAGAGACATAAGAACGACCACTAAGATTAACGGCGCACGTCGTAGTGCCGTTACACGGGTCGTTCCGGACGCTACGGTTTCGCTACACTAAGTGTTTTAAGGTAGTGGAAATAGCGGAGGCGTACGAGGTACGGCTGCGGCGTTTACTCGATGCCAACGAAGTACCTAGGTATATACTTTACCGTAAGAGGGCTAGAGGCTTACCTTCACGAGTTACGGCGGTTAGCATCCTAAGGCCGAACATCGTTTTACTCAACGAGATCCATCCTTACGAAGAAGAAATTAGGTACATTATAGAGAAGGACCGCGCTATATACCCGGATTTATTACTTATTATAGGCACGAAGATCACCATTCCCGGCATTTAGGGAGCTGTTAAGGTTTTTAGCGAGGTCATATACCGACAGGAGGCCACCTTAGAATCACGCGGGCTTAGCCTACTAGTACTATTCGTTAATCGCGAGGCAGTATCCCTCACGCGCTAGCGGGGTATAATCAATATAGTAATATAGATAGACTACATAACGTTTACGGGCCATTATAGGCACTTCGCGTTAATAGACGGCGAACCGAGCGGAGAACAACAGTAAACGACTTCGTAGCATAGAAACAGAAGGACTAGCGACGTCGGCCTCGGCCTAGCGGACGTAACGAGGTACGCGGGCGATAAAGGCACGAGTCTAGAGGAAGACGTGGATTTAATATCTTTAGGGTTAATAGAGTAGGAAATTAGTTAATATATAGTCGAGGAGGCCGAGGAACTAGCCCGACTTGACGAAGCTTACAAGATATTTTAATAAGCAGGATTTTAAAAATAAATTTTATAGTCTATAGACTCGAGGCTAGATGCCGTAATAGCTCTACAACTAGTAATAAATAGCCGTACAGCCGGTCCCGTCCTTATATCCTTCCCCGGAATTACCCTCTAGGTGTCGTTACCGTAGTGTTAACCTATATAGATACAGACGGCGTAGCGATACAATACACCATCAGGTAAATCATTACTTTTTCGCGTCTATAATAAAAGTCTAAGTATAGTATAGAGACGACAATAGCGTTACCTAGATAATCCCATTCTAAGAGTTCACATTTAAGACCAGCGGAACGGCGCAGCATGCGTAATATATAATAATTCTAGTTAACCTAGAGGATACAGGCCTCCGGCACGAACAATACCTCGGTCCGTTATAAATTACTGTTAAGGTATTGAAATTTAAGTGGTGCTCCGAAGCCCTAGCCGCGTACCTCCTTATACCCCTAATTACTCTCTCGCGTTAGACCATCGGCTTTAATCACCAGTCGCGGGGACAGATAGCCGAGCACAACACGAGAGCAGATACTCTAACGCTGGCACTTAGCGGCGAGCGTAGTACATACGAGGTTAAGGTCGTGCCCGAAGTCCGAGGTGAACCAGTCCGTCACGGCCTAAGAGAGGTCACAACCCTCGTCGCGGCGTATAAGGTTAATAAGACTAGTTATGATCGGCTTCTTAAAAGGGAAGATCTTAAGCACTTAGTTATAGCAAAGTAAGCCGTAATATATATAAAGCTAAATTAAGGTACGGCGATAAAGAGAGCTTTAAACACTTCTCTAAGTTCGAGATATCGGCCCACGGTAAACTCGGTCGGGTTATAGTGCTGTAGGGCGCGTATAAGTCTATCTCTAATCATAGCTAGTTATTTCCCATTAAGCGTAGATAGTATATCTTATATACAGGCGGTATAAAGAGCTCGTCCGGGCTCAGTTAAAGTCTTTTACATCCGCGGGGTTATGTTATCGTACTAGATAAGGTGGATATTAAATATAATTACAAGAGAGAGGCAGACGTCTATAGCGCAAGAATTATAGCCCGCACGAAAGAAGTATAGCACCCTCTAGAAGACTAAAATTAGTTCGTAGAGCTTAGTCGCCTCTAACGAGTCCTAGTTCCCGGCGAGAGAACGGCCTATAGCCACGGTACGGGTAAGGTCTTCCCGGGTATAGGCTACTATCCTCGTTAGATATTTTATAGAAACTCCGCGTAATATAGCTTAATATCCTCGGTAGACGAGCTCGGCATAGGTAACGAGGGAGGTGCTTATAAGAGTTAGAAGCGCAGTAAGGTCGCCATAGAAATCGAGGGAGTTGAGGTTATATTAGGCAGCGCTAGAACTATCGTTAGTAATTTATAAGTAAATCGAGGAAGAGTCGTACATATAATAGTTATAATTAATCCAGTACACGGCGCCAACGACCGCAATCGCCGGAGCTATACTTAGCACCGATTCCGCTATAAAAGAAGGTTTTAGGAACTAGGGAAGAGGCTAGTTCTACTACCGAAGGAGGGCATCCGGGTCGGACTATTAAAGGTACGAAAGAAAACGAAGCTATATAACGGAATCCCTAAGTAGGATAGGTGAAATTATTTTGTTTTATTAAAGGCGGTTAGAGCAACGCCTATATAGGGTGAAAAGGTGCGGCAGGGATATTATTAGTAATAAGCACGGTGTAGTAATCGGGCCTATCCCTAAATAAAGAAAAGTAAGTCGATATAAACGCTGCTAATATATATACAGCACGTTTAAGCCGGTAGAGGCGACGAAGACTAGGAGCATCGACCGCGCCTAGGGCCCTCAACCTTTACACTCCTTAGGGAGTAGAAATAGACCTATCCAGCATTAAGCTCGGAACACCTCCTCGTTACCTTCTCCTAATCTATTTAGCGCCCTCCCTTTCCGCCACTACAGATACCCGCGGAAGAGAGTCTATCGACGTATCTCGGTTACTAGATACTCACATCACCAGCGGAACCGCCCGTGCTCCTAGTATCTCTTCGCCTCCTAAGCGGCCCGGTGGTCTCGACCTCCTCCACGACAACAGCTAAACTTCTTATCGTCCCAATCTTACTTATATATAGTATTCTCAATCCCTTCGTCCGCGTACACGAGTTAGTCTAAAATTATCTTATCTAGGCCGCACTAACGAACCCACTAGAAGACGCTATACTCTCCTAGTATAGAAGGGTCAGGCCTAATTAGTGGATCAGATATTAGGGAAACTTATATATTAGTTTCAGCAGCAGGTCGCGGTTACTTTAGATATAGAAGTAGGTATAGTCTACGCCGAGGCGCGTAAGGAGGGTATAAAATAAAGTTCCAATGGAGAGCGTATAGAGTTTTACCCGGGCTATATTATTATAGCCGATCGAGTAAGCCAGCTCGTATCCTATAGCGTTGCGAAAGGCTCCACTATATATAGGGAAGTAGAGGTCGTAAATAATAATATAGCGCGGACTACGTCCGCTTCGACAGACCTTAGTATTGGAGAAATCGCGTACACATACGCCGCCGGCGTAAATAGTAGTTTACATAGTTAAAAAAGTCTTACAGGACGAGAAATCACTATCAACACGTCAATACCGAGTTAGAATACGAGACTAGTAGACGTGTACATACTTAAATTCGACGAGAGCCACCTAGGCGGTAATACCGGCAACCCCTAGATACGGCTTTCGATTCGCGAATTAAAAGCGGAGGTAGAGCATAAGCTCGTCGCTATTACAGCACTCGACGAGTAATTTATAACGGCTGCAGAACTACGCGAGAGACTATAGGGTTACGTCGGCGTCGGTTATAACATAACCGGTGAGGGCGACGCCACGTTCGACCGAATTAAGCTAAAATAAAATAAAACCTCGATATTAATTACGGATCGCGCGACGGCTTTCCATTTTTACTATAGTCGGATAGAGCTAGTAAATTTACTAGTAGTCGAGCTCGATCGAGGTGAAGGGGGTAGCTATCTTAAAGAATATAGTTACAGGTTAAGGTAGGGTAAAGAGGAGATATTACGGTCTTTATTTATATTATATAGGCGGTGCTAGCTCTAGTTAGATTTCAGCTCCCTAGGAAGTCTAAATAATATATACCGAAATTAATAACGAACACTAGGCAAGATCAAAAAATCGATTTTAGGAATTATAGAAAGATTAAAATCTCAATTTTAAGGATTTTAGGAAGAGTCCCCCTTACCTAAAGCTTAAAGATATATCCGGGAAGTCGATGCTACTCCTATATCTATATATAGTATAGTTTTATACCTCGTCTCCAGCGTCTTCATCTTAATTATAACTACCCTCTCCAGTACCATCCTTATTACCTTCCTCATCTTCGTAGTAAATAGCTAGCTTATACTACGGATCATCATCCGTCAAATATCCGTATAAAGGTCTCTACCCCTCCGAACAAGCCTCCTATTCTACAACTAATGTTTCTCCGTAGTTAAGAAGGCCTCATACACGATCATCTAACCGTACTAGCCGCGATAGTTTACCCTAAGGGTCGTCTACCCGCATTAAATAGGGGAGTAAGTAACTACTATACTAATTCATTAATTTCGTCGCGCTATTCTTCGCTTAATTATCTCAGCGCGCTAGGTTCCTTCTCGGTGCTCTATCGGCCTAGCCCTAGCATAGCGTGCGGCAGCGGCGGTGCCGTCGGCTAAGTATACTAATATACTTATTCGGGGCGCCGCCCGAAGGTCGATTAGGTATATTACTGCGAAGGCGCGGTTACGCCGGGTCTCTACGCTGTACGGTCGGGTAGCTTACTCGAGGATGCGTAGACATTACGACCCGGGAAGGCGGGATTTCCTTACGACATTAGCGGCGCGAGGGCATTAAAGGAGCGTAAATACGCCAAAAGTTACCTGTATTACCTTTATCGTAACATAAATGTAAAGGTTTATACAGTTAATAAATAGAGGGATACTAATACACCAGCTAAGGGATAGTTATAATCGTAAAGACGGGAGATACTAATACACTAGCCGAGGCATACTTAAAATCGTAAAGCGGGAAGATTAGTATATATCAGCGAAATTATTAATATACCGGCGAAGATATCGACGTACTAATCAAGGGGTAGTTACAGCCGTAGAGTAGAAAAGGTATTAATGCACCGGTAAAGATGTCGACGTACTAATCGAGGGGTGATTACAGCCGTAGAGCAGAAAAGGTATTAATACACCGGTAAAGATATTAACGTACTAACTAAGGTATAGATATAGTCGTAGAGCAGAAAAGGTATTAATATACTAACGAGGATATTAATATATAAATCAAGGTATAAATATAGTTATAGAGTAGAAAAGGTATTAATATACTAGTAACGATATAGTAACGGTCGTGAAGTAGAAGGATATAGATATATTAAAATAGTCGTGAAGCAGAACCGGAATTAATATACGCCCGTGGAGCAGAAGAGAACGCTAAGATAGAAAAGTAGGGCGCTAAGCCTAAGACCGGCACAACGGCGACGACAATATCTCAACCCCCTAATAAGATATAACGATGCGGATAACGGGAGAGGGGAGCCTAACGAGGTATCTA